TTTTTTTTTTTTAACGACCGGTATTATTGTTGGACGCCTTGAAACTGCCGTGTGGCATTACTTCAGAGAGGCCCATCCCTACCACCACCATAATAAAAGCACGCCCTCTATCTGACCTTGACCACTCCTATTACCCTCATCATCGAGAGACACGCCTTCCCCACCCCGCCATACCATGGTATAGGAGTGGATGAAGTGGGAGGATATAGAACACCCAATATTAACCTACTAATATTATTTCATACCACCAAAACATTTTTATCATGTTTTCGTAAATTTTTGCAATTTCAGAAATGTTTGTGAGAATTTTATATTTTTTAACTTCGATACGAAGCCATGAAGGTATTAATTGTAATAATATATTAAATATAATCATTCATGATTTTAAAATATTTATTGTTGAATTAGTTTTGATATGATAATTGAATTCAACTACATAATTAAATGTTTTACTTTGTAATTTATTCATTTTTTAACTTAATTTTTTTGTATTACAACCAGTCTATAATATTCCAATTTTTTTGGTAACATTTTGCTACATAAATTATAAAATGAAAAAAAACATTTTGTTTTGTTTAACTTAAATTTAACAAACAAATTTTACAATTATAATTAAATTTTATAATACGCTCTATAATAATTTTTTAACAACATTTTGATTGGTTTTTTTAATTAAAGTAATTCAATAAAATTAATTAAGTTCTGAATAGTTGAAAGGTTACAAATATAAAAAAAAATCAAATTAATTGGCCGCAACGAAAAATTTGTAACTTTCATGGTGTATTGAAAAATTAATAAGAAAAGGGTCGCCAACCTATGAGGCAATGTATTGTCGGACTATAGTAGGATTTTAAAGAAAAATTAAATTTTGTATGTTAAAAAAATTAAAAAAAAATATAAAATTAATAAATATTAAAGATAATGACCGTTGATTCGTTGATAATTGATGTACACCAAAACCTCGTGACAGTCGTCACATAATCATATAGATCAGGGATGACCTTGTACAAGGCCGTTGCCCATACATTATTAACTAGAGGAGTTGATTTTTGAAAGGAAAAAATACACGAGTCCATTGAAGATGGAACACACAAAAAAAAAGAAAAATATGATGGTTAAGTTAAATTAAGGAGTATTTATTAAGTAAAAAAAAAAAAAACAAAAAAAAATTAAGTTAATACGAGGCAAAAAACTGAACGGTCAAAAATCATTGTCTACAAATTAAAGGGGAACAGAGAGAAAGAAAAAAATAGATATTAATAAAAAAAATAATTACACCTACACTTTTACAATTAGAGAATACGATGAACGTCTTCGGGTACCCACCGGCTATTAATCGCGGCATTACCGCTAAGCATAGTGAGTATACGTCCCAAGTAAGCGACTGGTTTTAGGCAGTTAGACTTAGCTTGCAAGACGCTGGGACACCCCGGAATAAAAGGCACTACATCACCACATTGTACTAATGATATATAATATGCATCACCCAAAGTACCTATATAAATATATATAAAAAATTACAAAAAATATATATATATAACATGACAGGTGGTATTATGTGGTATAATTATTAACACATGTACTAAATGTCACATATATATGAATAAAGCAATAAATCATCTAAGGAATGTTTCCCTTTTTGGGTAATAAAAATAACTATTCATCAACACATGTTTCAAACCAGTCCCCTACAATTCATTTAATACGCCCACGGCAGGGTTTCTATCACAATT